TGACACACTGGCCAGGCTTGAGCTTCTGAGACCTCAAAGCCCACCCGCTAGTGACACACCTCCTCCAACAAAGCCACACCTACTCCGACAAGGCCACACCTCCTAATAGTGCCACTTCCTATGGGCCTATGGAGGCCATTTTTATTCAAACCACCACAAGTACCCATTCTTTACAATAGTCCATGGAACTTGTACTGAAATAGACAATATCTTTGATGTAAAAAATAATCACAAACTCTTAACTGAAATCATAAAGAATGTGTTCTCTCTCTGCAGTGGACTTCAGCTGGAGCTAAAACAAAGAGGAATAATGGGAAAATCCCCAAATGCCCCAATAGTTTCTGCATGAAAAATTAAATGCTAAAGAAAATAGAAATAGTACATTTGACTGAAGATCAAAATTCATGGACTACAGCTAAACCAGCACCTAGAGAGAAAGTTAAAGTCCCAAATTCATACATAGTAAGAGGGAAACTTGCAAACAAATTGAAGGTTCATCTGAAAACCCTAGAAAACAAGACAAAATGGACACAAAGCAAGTAAAACAAAGAAAATAATAAAGATAAGATGAGAAATCAATGAAATTGAAAACAGAAAACTAAAAAATCAATGCAACCAAGACCTGGCCTTTGAACAGACCAATAACATTGAAATCATTTCATCTGGTAGGTTGTCAAATGACTCTGCCACCTGAGCTGAATTCTGGTCAGTGCCCTCATTAAACCTGTAGAGGAGAAAGAATTGGCAGGGTACATGGGTCATCCCCCTGAGCAGCTTCTGCTAGCCCAGACTCTTGGTTTTTTTAAAGCACATTGTAAATCTCTACTTGTTCAGTGCACTTCACCTACTTCTAAGAAATTACACACCTTGGACATGGCTAATGTCTGTCAAGCAACAAAACCTCTTCCATGATCAAAAAAGAAAAAAGAAAAGGAGAGAGAGAGAGAGAGAGAGATAACACAACAGCAAGTAATAGGGGTTAAACATTGTAATAACCAATTGTCCCTTTTCATAAACACATACTGAAGGATCATGATTCCTGGAACAAATGTGTAAGTCCAAGTCCCTCTTCCCGCCCCCAGTCTGTACACTAATTGCATAACGTTGGAGAAGTCATTAACAGTCTAAGACATGAAGTTCCAATACCCATTAAGTGGACACAATATTTGTACTCAATATACATTTTGTTAATTAAAATTTTTGATCACTTTGGAAAACTAGCAAAGAAAAATAAGACACAAATCACCTACATTAATAAAATGAGATATCACCATAAATGCAGAAAGATTAGAAGACTAAGGAACTACTCAAAGTAAATATATATGCAGCTGAAATGGACCAATTCTAAAGAACCTAGGACTTACCATACCTAGCCCTGTATAGTATGAATGCCCTTATAATAACAATGCCCCTAAACCAAAACCATTAAGCTTATCTGCTTTCAGTGAACAGCTGAAATAAAGAATTCGTACCAATTCTATAGTGACTTTTTTTTTTCAGAGACAAGAGGAGAAGTAGCTATTTGCCAATTTTTGTTACAAACCTGGCCTTATTCTGACACAAAACCAGACAAAGCTAAAGCTGTTCAGGTGTTTAGGAACCTGAAAAGCTAATATTCCTTGTGAATCTGGATGAAGAAACCCTTAAATTATTAGCAAATAAAATCTGGAAAAATTGAGAAACACCATAAACTGTAACTAAATGGTATTTGTTTTATTTCACAGATGCAAAGGGGACTGAATATTTGAAAATCATTGTGATCTGTCTTCTTTTCAGGCTACAGAAAGAAAATCACATTTTTATAGGGGAGATGACTCTATTTTATCTGTGGGTCCCCGAAGCTTGAGTATTAGATGTTGGATCTCCAGAACCCATGTAAATTCTGGATGGGCATAGCGGTTTGCCTATAATCTAGCTAGCGTGGGAAGGTTCTGGGAATAGGAAAATCCCCAGAGGAAGAGAACTGGTGGGATGACACCAGCCATATTCTGAAGTTCTGGGCTTAAGTAAGGCAGAAGGTCAACTGAAGATCATTCTCTACATCAACCTTGGCCTTCCACATACATGTGAACACACATGCATGCAAATTCCACACATGTTCCATACACACACACTTTTGAAAATAATATAAGTTCAGCATTGTTGTAAGAGACAAGATCCATGCACAAAGCTTATTTGTGTTTACTCTAGCAGTGATCAGTACCATTAACAACTGCTCAAAAAGTAGGTGGTTCCAATGAACCTAACAAAATATGAACAGTACTTATTCACCAAAATCCATGAGACAATATGAAAATGTCATAAGGGAACCCATTATTTTGTAGAACTAGCATGTGAATGTAAAAACTACAAAGTTTCTATTAAAGTCTCAACAAAATGTTTAATTGATGCATACGTAAATTCTCTAGACAACAACTAAGGAAACAAGTTTTGCTAGAGAACGAAGGAGAAGGAGACAAAACTGAACAGTTAAGAGCACTGGCTGCTCTTGAAGAGGACCAGTGTGGGCTTGGTTCCCAGCACATACATCATGTGACTCACAGATTCCTGTGACTCCATTTCCAGAGGATCTGATACTCCGCTGGCCCCCAGGACCAACTGTACCCAAGCGCACACACACCCACACAGACACATACACATGTATTCACAGTAAAGAAACATCTTTTTAAAGGAATAAAGAGAAATAATTCTTTGCAACTTAAGAATATTTGCTTTTTCATACACATGCAAAGTTAATGAACAAAAGATAATATTTTCAACAAATGGAGTAGGGTCATTGATCGTCCATAGGGAGGAGGTAGAGCGAGCTGTAACATCACTGTTGGAAGCATGAACTTAAATGGAAATATAAAACTATAAACTTCTTAGGGAAAACAAACAGTGAAAATTTTTGGGATCTTGATGTGTGCCAAAATCTTCTTTTTTTTTTAATTGGATATTTTCTTTATTTAAATTTCAAATGTTAACTCCTTTCACAGCTACCCCTCCCCAAAACTCCCTATCCCACCCCCCACACCAGTTTCTATGAGGGTGTTCCCCCACCCACCCACCCACTCCTTTCTCCCAGCCCTTGCATTCGCCTACACTGTGGCATCAAGCCTTCACAGGACCAAGGGCCTCTCCTCCCATTGATGCCCTACAAGGCCAACTTCGGCTACATATGCAGCTGGAGCCATGCATCCCTCCATGTGTACTCCTTGGTTGGTGGGTTAGTCCCTTGGAGCTCTGGGGGTTCTTGTTGGTTGATATTGTTGTTCTTCCTATGGGGTTGCAAACCCCTTCAGCTCCTTCACTCGTTTCTCTAACTCTTCCATTGGGGACCCCATGCTCATACCAATGGCTGGCTATGAGCAACCATCTCTGTATTTCTCAGGCTCTGGCAAAGCCTCTCTGGAGACAGCTATATCAGGCTACTCACAGCATGCACTTCTTGGCATCTACAATAGGGTCTGCGTTTGGTGACTACATACATATAGGATGGATTCCCCGGTGGGGCAGTCTCTGGATGGCCTTTCCTTCAGTCTCTGCTCCACCCTTTGTCTCCATATTTACTCCCATGAGTATTTTGTTCTTTCTTCTAAGAAAGACCGAAGCACCCATACTTTGGTCTTCCTTCTTCTTGAGTTTCATACGGTCTGTGAATTGTATCTTGGGTATTTCAAGCTTTTGGGCTAATATCCACTTATCAGCGAGTACACACCATGTGTGTTCTTTTGTGATTTGGTTACCTCGCTCAAGATGAAACTTTCTAGTTCCATCCATTTACCTAAGAATTTCTCAAATTCATTGTTTTTAATAGCTGAGTAATACTCCATTGTGTAAATGTATCATATTTTCTGTATCCATTCTTCTGTTGAAGGGCATCTGGGTTCTTTCCAGCTTCTGGCTATTATAAATAAGGCTGCTATGAACATAGTGGAGCATATGTCCTTGTTATATGTTGGAGGATCTTCTGTGTATATGCCCAGGAGTTGTATACCTGGGTCCTCAGGTAATACTATGTCCAATTTTCTGAGGAACCACCAGACTGATTTCCAGAGTGGTTGTACCAGCTTGCAATCCCACCAAGAATGAAGTAGTGTTCCTCTTTCTCCACATCCTTGCCAGCAACCGTTTCTACCTGAGTTTTTGATCTTAGCCAGTCTGACTGGTGTGAGCTGGAATCTCAGGGTTGTTTTTATTTGCATTTCCCTGATGACTAAGGATGTTGAACATTTCTTTAGCTGCTTCATGGCTATTTGATATTGCTCAGTTGAAAACTCTTTGTTGAACTCTGTACCCCATTTTTAATAGGGATATTTGATTGTCTGGAGTCTAACCTCTTGAGTTCTTTGTATATATTGGATATTAGACCTCTGTCAGATGTAGGATTGGTAAAGATCTTTTTCCAATTTGTTGGTTGCCATTTTGTCCAACTGACAGTGTCCTTTGCCTTACAGAAGCTTTGCAATTTTATGAGGTCCCATTTGTCGATTCATATATATATATATATATATATATATATATGCAATTTATTCCATTATAAGCACTTACACAGTTAGTCATGGAGAGTAACAGGCCTGATGGTGAGACAGGTCAACCAAAATGGAGATGGCATCAAACTATAGTGGTCAAAGACTAACCTCTAAAAAAGCAACTTTTATCAAGGATTAATTTAATCTTAAAAACAAATACAAACTAGCAATTCACTCTCAACTTGAGAGTTCACCAGTGGTACAACTGCCAGGTAAAAACATACACCTTTACAACGTGGTGGTCCCAAGTTTTTTTTTTTTAAAAAAAAATGAAAGAAAAGAAGGAAAAAACACACACAACAAAAAACAGACTTTGTTCAGCTATCCAGCCACAACTGGAGCCACCAACGAGGCATTGCTGAATGAAGCCCCCCAGTTAAGATTTAGAAAACACCCATGGTCTGGGCTATTAGCATTGATGGTGGTACCTATTGTAGTTGGGTGGCTGAACAAAGTCTATGTCTTAAACAGTGTTAAATCCATCTCAGGGTTCAAAGGAGAACAAGGAGAGTCTAAAATCACAAGTTCAGACGTGTCTAGGATCCCTGTCCCACTGGATCCACACTTCCTTCAGGGTCTTCATCATTATAAATGTTCTCTGCCATCTGCCACACTTGCATGATATTGTCTTCTGATACAGAACAAATCACCCAAGGCTCATTGGGATTCCAGGAGAAGTCAGATATCTTGGCAGTGTGGCCAACATGAATAAACAACAACTCTGGTGGGCCATCCTCCGCATCTTCTGGGGACTGTTCTTCTCCAATTTTACTTAGATCCCAGACATTCAGCCTACGATCAGTACTGCTGGAAGCTAAGATAGTCTCATTGTGAGGCGACCATTGAACTTGGAATATTTCATCCTTATGTGATTCAAAGGAATACAACTTGAGTTTCAGATTTCTCAGATCCCACAAGGCAACAGTCTTGTCAGCCGATCCTGTGGCAAGAATAAACTCACTGTAAGGATTGAACGATAAGCAATTCACTTCAGCTGTGTGAGCATCAACTGAGTGGCTTGGCTTGGAAGTATTGTTTGAACGAGTATCCCAAATCATAAGTTTCTGATCATCAGCAGCTGACCCAAACAGAGACTCGTGGAGCAGGTGCCAGGAAACATCCTCCACTACTGCTGTATGCCCCGTAAAGATGGTCTTTGCATCCACCACTTTTCCTTCTTTTGGAACTGCACTGATGTCCCACAGGCAGATGGTATGGTCGTCTGAAGCACTAAGCAAGTGCCCGCTGAGGTTCGGATTCCAAGAAAGCCCATATCCTTCCTTCTGATGTCCACAGAGACGAAAATCTGGGTTGCATTCTCCAGAAGGGTCTGGTTTAGAAGGGTGCTTTGTGTAGTCAAAAACAAGAACTGTGGGGAAAATTTAAAAAAAGGCCGCCACAGCGGCGCAAGCCCGCCGCCGTGGCGGGTCCCCACATCATGGAGAGAGATCCTACGGTTCCAGCGGCCTGAGGGCCTTGGCGCGGCAGGCCCCAGTAGTAACACGAGGAAGTCCTTGGTTCCAAAAAGGTTTATTGACATGACGGATAATAGATGGATCTAGGCGTATCCCCCAAAACTCAGGGCCGTCCCGAATTATATAGGGAGGGAGAAAGGGGGAGGATTAGGGGAGGATCTGGGGGGAGGAATGTTTAATTTGCTCTGCCCTCTGGCCTTCATTAGTATGTAAATCTCTAGGGCCTGAGGCCTATCGCCTGGGTGACTCTATGGAGATCTGTGACTGTTTTTCAGGATCTTAGGTGATGGGAGGGACCGAACTCCTGTCGGTTCTCATGAGGAATTCCACAGAGAATCTCGGGGTTCTAAGTACCTGCTCAACCATGACCCAGGATACCCTTATGCAGTCCCACAAAGAACATCACTGGATGGAGTCTTTGTTGCAATAATGCAAGGGTTCTGAGGCATGTACCGGGCCCTGTTTACTTCTCCTTCATGGTTGATCTTGACTTCTATTTCAATTTTCCCACTGACAGAACCAAAACCTCCAAATTCTCCTTTTTCACTGTCATAATGGGATGCATCAAACTGAGCATCGTCATTAGGGAGCTGGACACTGGCTATCACCAGGTGGTTTTGTTCATCTGATGTGTGTGTTCCCAGGACAAGCCGATGAATGCTGAAATCTTTTCCTTCAGGCCTGGCCACATCTGGAAGCCACTGGACCGTTAAGCTGGGCCACTCCAGGGCATGGGTCATCACCAAATCATAAAAAAGGGGTGTTCTTCCATATTTTGTACTCCTCGTTGATCACACGTTCTTCTACCGCGTCGTCAAAGGCCGCTTCCTTGTCAGCCATGGCGGCAGGCGAGGGGTTGGGGGATCCCGGGGTCGTGCGTTGAAGGAGGGGTGGGGAAGCTACCCCATTTGTCGATTCTTAATCTTAGAGCATAAGGCATTGGTGTTCTGTTCAGGAAATTTTCCCCTATGCCTATGTGTTCAAAGCTCTTCCCCACTTTCTCCTCTATTAGATTCAGTGTATCTGGTTTTATGTGGGGTTCTTGATCCACTTGTTCTTGAGCTTTGTACAGGGAGATAAGAACGGATCCATTTGCATTCTTCTACATGCTGACCTCCAGTTGAACCAGCATCATTTGTTGAAAATGCTGTCCTTTTTCCACAGGATGGTTTTAGCTCCTTTGTCAATTAACAATTGACTGACCATAGGTGTGTGGGTTAATTTTTGGGTCTTCAATTCTATTCCATTGAATTTCTTGCCTGTCTCTGTACCAATATCATACAGTTTTTATCACTATTGCTCTGTAATACAGCTTAAGGTCAGGGAAGGTGATTCTCCCCAGAAGTTCTTTTATTGTCGAGAATAGTTTTTGCTATCCTGGGTTTTTGGCTATTCCAAATGAATTTACAAATTCCTCTTTCTAACTCTGTGAAGAATTGAGTTGGAATTTTGATGGGGATTGTATTGAATCTGTAGATTGCTTTCGACAGATGGCTATTTTTACTATATTAATCCTGCCAATCCATGAGCATGTGAGATCTTTCCATCTTCTGAGATCTTCTTCAATTTCTTTCTTCAGAGACCTTAAATTCTTGTCATATAGATTTTTCACTTTCTTGGTTAGAATCACACCAAGGTATTTAATATTACTTGTGATTATTGTGAAGGGTGCCACTTCCCTAATTTCTTTCTCAGCCTGTTTATCCTTTGAGTAGAGGAAGGCTACTGATTTGTTTTGAGTTAATTTTATATCCAGCGACTTTACTGAAGTTGTTTATCAGATTTAGGAGCTCTCTGGTGGAAGTTTTGGGGTTACTTAAGTATACTATCTTATCATCTGAAAATAGTGATATTTTGACTTCTTCCTTTCCTATTTGTATCCCTTTGACCTCCTTTTATTGTCTAATTGCTCTGGCTAAGACATCAAGTACTATATTGAATAGATAGGGAGAGAGTGGGCAGCCTTGTCTAGTTCCTGACTTTAGTGGGATTGCTACAAGTTTCTCTCCATTTAGTTTGATGTTGGCTACTGGTTTGCTGTATATTGCTTTTACTATGTTTAGATATGAGCCTTGAATTCCTGATCTTTCCAAGAATTTTATTATGAAGTGCTGCTTGATTTTATCAAATGCTTTCTCAGCATCTAATGGGATGATCATGTGGTTTTTTTCCTTGACTTTGTTTATATAGTGGATTATGTTGGTAGATTTCCAAATATTGAACATCCTTGTATCCTTGGGAGCCTACTTGATCATGATGGATGATGGCTTTGATGTGTTCTTGGATTCAGTTTGCAAGAATTTAATTGGGTATTTTTGCATAGACACTCATGAGGGAAACGAGTCTGAAGTTCTCTTTTTTTGTTGGGTCTTTGTATGGTTTAGGTATAAGCATAATTGTGGCTTTAGAGAACAAATTGGGTAGTGTTCCTTCTGTTTGTATATTGTAGAATAGTTTGAAGAGTATGTCTTCTTTGAAGGTCTGATAGAATTCTGCACTAAACTCAACTGGTCCTGGGTTGGTTTTTTGGGTGTTGTTGTTGTTATTGTTTTTTGTTTTGTTTTTTGTTTTGTTTTGTTTGGAGACTTTTAATGACTGTTTCTATTTCTTTAGGGGTTATGAGATTGTTTGGGTGGTTTATCTAATCCCAATTTAACTTTTGCACCTGGTATCTGTCTAGAAAATTGTCCATCTCATCTAGATTTTCCAGTTTTGTTGAGTAGAGGCTTTTGTAGTAGGATCTGATGTTCATTTTTAATTTCCTCAGTTTCCATTGTTACATCTCCCTTTTTATTTTCGATCTTATTGATTTGGATACTGTCTGTGCCCTCTGGTTAGTCTGGCTGTTGATTTTCTCAAAGAACCAGTTCCTGGTTTTGTTGATTCTTTTTGTTTCTACTTGGTTGATTTCAGCCCTGAGTTTGATTATTTCCTGCTGTCTACTCCTCTTGGGTGTATTTGCTTCTTTTTGTTCTAGAGCTTTTAGGTGTGCTGTCAAGCTGCTAGTGTATGCTCTCTCCTGTTTCTTTTTGGAGGCACTTAGAACTATAAGTTTTCCTCTTCACACTGTTTTCATTGTGTCTCATAAGTATTGGTATAATGTGTCTTCATTTTTATTAAATTCTAAAAAGTCTTTAATTTCTTTCTTTATTTATTCCTTGACCAAGTCATCATTGAGTAGGGCATTGTTCAGTTTCCACATGTATGTGGGCCTTCCATTGTTTTTGTTGTTTATGGGCATCTCTTTCTTTAGGTTAGGGAACTTTTCTTCTATAATTTTGTTGAAGATATTTACTGGCCCTTTAAGTTGAGAATCTTTGCTCTTTTCTATACCTATTATTTGTAGATTTCTTTTTTTTTCTTCTCTTCGAGACAGGGTTTCTCTGTGTGGCCCTGGCTGTTCTGGAGCTCACTCTGTAGACCAGGCTAGCCTTGAACTCAGAAATCCACCTGCCTCTGCCTCCCAAGTGCTGGGATTAAAGGCGTGCACCACCACTGCCCAGCCTGTAGATTTCATTCACATTTTGTTCTGAATTTCCTGGATATTTTGGCTTAGGAGATTTTTGTGTTTTGCATTTTCTTTGATTGTTTTGTCAATGTTTTTTTGGTATCTTCTGCATCTGAGATTCTCTCTTCTATCTCTTGTATTCTGTTGGTAATGCTTGCATCTATGACTCCTGATCTCTTTCCTATGTTTTCTATCTCCAGGATTGTTTCCCTTTGTGATTTCTTTATTGTTTCTATTTCCATTTTTATATCCTGGATGGTTTTGTTCATTTCCTTCACCTGTTTGGTTGTGTTTTCCTGTAATTCTTTAAGGGATTTTTGTGTTTCCTCTTTAGTGGCTTCTACCTGTTTACCTGTGTTCTCCTGTATTTTAAGTCCTCTATCATCATCATGAGACATGATTTTAAATCAAAATCTTGCTTTTCCAGTGTGATGATGTATCCAAGACTTGCTATGGTTGGAGAACTGGGTTCTGATGATGCCAAGTAACCTTGGTTTCTGTTGCTTATGTTCTTACGATTGCCTCTCACCATCTGGTTACCTCTAGTGCTACCTGCCCTCACTGTCTCGGACTGGAGCCTTCCCCTCCTGTGATCCTGGTTGTGTCAGAATTCATCAGAGTCTAACTGTCTCTATGATCCTGTTATTCTGGGATCCTGGGATCCTGAGATCCTGGATGTGTCAGAGCTCCTGGGAGTCAAGCTGACTCTGGGAATCCTGAAATCCTGGTGTGACCAAGTTCCTGAGATCCTGTGATCCTATGATCTTATGAGCCTGTGATCCTAAGATCCTGGGTGGGTTAAAGCACCTGGAGTTGAGCTTCCTCTTGGTTTTGTGAGATTGGGTTCAGAGCTAGCGTCCAAGGTCTGCTCAGGGCACTGGCTCCCTGTACCAAAATCTTAACATGATACCAAGCCATAATCACAGCCTAATCAAAAAATTAGACTTCATCAAAATTAAAAATATTTTCTTTTCCCTATGAGAGATTTCTTAAGTAATTGAAAAGACAAGTTCAGGGGCTGGAGAGATGACTCAGTGGTTAAGAGCACTGACTGCTCTTCCAGAGGTCTTGAGTTCAAATCCCAGCAACCACATGGTGGCTCACAACCATCTGTAATTAGATGCGATGCCCTCTTCTGGTATGTCTGAAGACAGCCAGTGTACCCACATACATGAAATAAATAAATAAATCTTTAAAAAAAAGAAAGAAAGAAAGAAAGAAAAGACAAGTTCAACATGAGAAAAATTATTTAAAACTACATATCTAAATATGTCTACATACAATGACGCTGGTCTAACTGGATCCATATTTATCACCCTATACAAAATTCAAGTTCAAGTGGATCAAGGATCTCCACATAAAACTGGGTACATGAAATCTAAAAGAAGAGAAAGTAAGAAATACCCTTGAACACATTGGTACAAGAGACAATTTCCTGAACAGAACAGCAATGGCTTAGGCTCTAAGATCAACAATTGATAAACGGGACCTCTTGAAGCTGAAAAGCTTCAGTAAGGCTAAGGACACTGTCAATAAATCAAAACAGCTGCATACAGACTGGGCAAAGATCTTTAATAACCCTCTAGATAATATCCAAAATACATAAAGAACTCAAGAAGCTATACACCAACAACCCAAATAACCCCATTGAAAACTATGGTACAGAATTAAAAAGAGAATTCTCAACAGAGGAAACTTGAATGGCTGAAAAGCACTCAAAGAAACGTTCAACATCCTTTAGTCATCAGAGAAATGCCAATCAAAACAACTCTGAGAATCCATCTTACACTAGTCAGATTGGCTAAGATCAAAAACTCAAGCAATAGTACACACTGGCAAGGATATGGAACAAGGAAAACACTCCTCCATTGCTAGTGGGAGTGTAAACTTGCACAACCACTCTAGAAATCAGTCTGATGATTTCCCAGAAAATTGGGAATAGTTCTCCCTGAAGACCCAGCTATACCACTCCTGAGAATATAACCAAAAACTGTTTTACCATATCATAAGGACACATGCTCCACTATGTTCATAGCAACTTTGTTCATAATAGCCAGAAACTAGAAACAACCCAGATGTCCCTCAACTGATGGATGAATACAGAAAATTTGGTTCATTTAAACAATGAAATACTATGCAACTATTAAACACAAGGACATCATAAATTTTGCAGTCAAGGGATGGAGCTATAAAATATCACCCTGAGTGAGGTAACCCAGACCCAAAAGGACATGCATGTTTTGTATTCACTAAGAGGATATTAGCTATAAAGTACAGAATACCCATAATACACCTCACAGACCCAAAGAAATCAAACAAGAATGAAGGTCCA